TAGTTTGCTGAACGCTGGTACCAATTCTGATGGAAGGAGCAATCAATATCTCTATGCCTCTATCGATTTATGTAACAATGGCGCCCCTGATGGTGGAGTTACCCCTACCATGGACTAGATTTGGGAAGCCTCGATGAGGATCAATACCTTTGTCAACAAACTTCAGAAGATTTTGAGAGCTTCTTGGGCGGAGAACCAATCAAATCATGTTAACCTCGAAGTGTTGGAAATATTCCCTAAAGCTAATCATTAGATGATACTTTACGAACATTTCACATGTTAAACTAATTTTGTGAAATCTTGTTCCCATATGTCACTATTTAATTTTACATATTTGGTATTTACGCGAATTTACCTTATTTTCGTTAATTTTAGATTTTCAATTAACTAGTTATAAAGTTTGAATTTTCATTGCTAGCCATTAAAAAGTTTGTAGACCTTGTGAGGTCACATTAAGTATATTTAGATAGAGCTCGATCCCACGAACGCGAAGCCAAACCATTCTAGAATCGAAGTTATAACGAAGGAGAAATTAACAAAAAAAGGCAGGGGCAAAATCATCATTTGGACAAATATATATAGGAGCTCCAGCATTGTTGGAATGAGGGGGATTTTCTAGTTTCGGAAAGTTAACCTGTATGTTGACCCAACTCTACAGAAAGCCCCAACAGCGATTCATGCCATTTTCCGACAAATTGATCGTCGTCACCACCAACATTCAATTCATCTTAGTGCCACGATCACGACCCACCCATTTTAACCCACTTTGGTCGCCGTTCGTGGCGGCTCGAATCCATGAAAAATCATGGAATTTCAATGGTTGAGCAATCGCCTCATCATGTTGAAGAAACTAGCAGCTACTACTCCCATCAGACAAATTATGGTCCCAAGAACAAAACACGACCTTTTGATCGACTATTGAATCAGCGGCATAGGCGCGGCGGCGTTCGATTTTTTCAAGCACCGGGTCATTTTCAGGTGATTTTCACCACTTTTCATTCATATTTTGGCTCCGGTGCAGGTATGATAAAGGCTTTACTCCTCACAATCTTCAATTTGATATATTTTGAGCCATTTTTGTGTTGGTTGGAAATTCCGGCGAGTTGGGGTCGACAACCTCCACGTACGGCTACGCGTGGCCAGTTGCCCGACTTTGTCCTTATAGGCCAAATTCAATACCCTGAATTGGTTGACACCTATTTGATGTAATTCAATTTAAACCTAATACCGTAAAGGTCCACCACGTGCCCTTTGTAATAGACGAAGATCCGACCGTTGGATTTACAAAATTGTAGTATATGGTTATACGTAATATTTGATGATCTTTTTACGGATAAAAAACCCAACATACGGATCTTCCCGGGTTGAATTTCTGAGTTTGTAGAAATGATTGTTGACCACCACCTAAATTTGCAATTGGTGGAGAACTGACCGCCAGATCGTCATGAAATTTTAATATGTTGTTCCAAAAACATATTGAGACTCTTAAAAAGTTACGGATTGGAAATCTAGTAGGCGGATCTTCTCGATTAGATTTCTAGTGTTGTTGACTGTTCCATTGACCACGTTGACCGATGGTTGACTTTTGGTCAACATGTTCCAAATCGTTCTTAAATACTAAAATTAATGGTACTAGGGATTCATTAGAGCCTAGTGGGCTTATCTTGGTTAGCAAGCTATCCCAGTTGATGTATATCTCGATTTGCATGAAAGTAGTACCTTATTAGGGTTTTTGTGTTTATTGGGCTTCTAGGTAGAGTAATGATAATGTGTAATTGTTTTTGTGAAACGATGAGTCAAGGACGATATTTGAGTTATTTAGTACAACGTGTACGTCTGTATGACTAAATAATCGTTGTTATGTAGAATATTGCATATGTGACGACAATTGTGATCTTTGATAAAATGTTATATGACATGGAATTTATGATGCTTGATGTGTAATGATATGATTGCACCATGTAGCAGCGGTAGATGGATGGTTCTACTTAGTATATTAGCGATGGGGAACCATACGTTTTAGGGGTGATCATACTTGGTATATCTACAATGGATGATCATCGCTTACATGATTAGACTATGCCTATGGTTCTGCTTGGTGTATCTACGATGGGGGACCATACACATTCTAGGAGTGATCACTCTTGGTATATCCATGATAGGGGATCACTACCTAGTACTATCGGATACGACCCTGCTTGGTTAATTCACATTTAGGCGACAATACACATTCTAGGGGTGACTCTGCTTGATTAATCCGCAATGGGTCACTGCCTACATGGTTACATAGTGCTCATGGGTGGTCCTTCTTGGTATTTCCGCATTAGGGGACCACACCATTTGATGGATGCCTATGGTCTTACTTGGTTAATCCACATTGAAGGACCATATGTATTTTAGGGGTAACCTGCTTGGTTAATCTGTATTGGGGGTTACTGCCTATGTGGTTACCTTGTTTTCATAGGTGGTCATGCTTAGTTAATCTAAATTTGGGGACCATGTTACCGAATGGATGTTTATGGTCATGCTTGGTTAATCCGCATTAAGGGACAATATGCATTCCAGAGATGAAGTCCATTGAGTCGTCTGAAGACCCTGCTTCGACTCGTTTCCTTTATATTGTCTGAAATCTAAAAAGTCATGCTCGTCGAGTTCCATTGAGTGATTATGAAATTCTATGTTGTTCTGCAAGAATCTACTATGAAAAACGCCGGAGTATAATGAATAGTGACTACGAATGTCTTAATCCTGTCTTAAGGTACATAGGCAGTCTAGCACAGAGGTTAAATGCAATCATGTGATAAAAGAAAAGTTACTATATTATTGATTCATTGAGTTGTGTTTTGGTCATGTCCCAGAGGCGAGGCATGAAAGATGAACATGTATGTGGTGGCGTCATGTGTTGATCCTGGGCGTATCTCGAGATCCGGACTTGAAAAATTAAGTTTAATGTAAGGGCAAAAATTAATATTTAAAGCCATCTCATTTATATTATACGCTTACATGAAAGTCCAAGAAATATGTAATTACGAGAATATAATCTAGAGAAGTTTGATTCATGAGACTTTTCTCTTCCATACACATATCCTAAACGTTCATAATCATAGGATTGCCAATTAGGCATTAACAATCTGAATAGATCAATACATACTAGGGAAAATAGCCAACACTCTCCTTTCTCTTTGGTCACTCATCTCTTCCTCAGTCATTTCCTTGGTGTGGAGATTTAGAGGTTCCCTACTTTGGGAACTTAGAGAATCAAGTCATCTAACCAAATCCATGGAGCTATGGAGTCAGGAAGCAAAGGAATGAATACCCTATCTCTTGGGTAATTAACTTTTGCTTATGCAAATAGGGATCTGCAAGGTAAAACAAATCTCAACTCTTTTTGTGTTTTAGAGTTGGGTATTTGGTTCACAACTACTAGGCTTAGAACTTCATGGGTGAAGTTTTGTTTTTGAGCGTGTAGTTGCATGATAAAGCCTTTAATAATTAACACTTTTTTATGTTGCTCAAATGAACTAGCATATTCAATTTTTTTCCTTCACAAAGTATGGGTGAAAGCTCTGGAAGATGCTATTTTCGGATTTGAAGGTTTGAATACCACAATTCTAGAAGAATAGTCGGCTATGACGACGCCTGATGTGACCCCAACAAAAATCACTAATCTGAATCTTCTTGTGAAACTACATGGCTGGACTTCCAAAACATCGTGTAGAAAACCTACGCGTGATATAGAAACGTTTGAGGATCGAAGGTTGGTGAAGAAACCAACCCCTCAACATCAATTGTATCTACAAGTAGCAGGAATATCTAGGCAACACCAGAAAAGAAAGGAAGGTACCATGTAAGAAGCCAAAGATGGTAGCCTCCACCAGTGAAACCCCTTTCATTCGACTCTAACATCTTGATGTTCTCCGATCGAGACTTGAAAGTTGCGTACTCCTCTCAAGACGATGCTCTAGTGATAAAGATTCAAATCTCAAATGCAATGGTAAGCTAAAGGCTGATAGATAATGGATCTGGAGTTAACATCCTCTTCAAATAAGCAACGAAAAAGATGAGAATTCTAGAGAACATCAACAGGAGTGAGACTACTTTACATACGTTGGACGATACTTCGGTTTGATCTCTCTTAATAGTGAAACTTGTTATTCAGGCATAACCCTACAATTTTCTAGTAACCTTCCATGTTATAGACTACCAACCCAGCATAACGTCATCTTGGGCCGAAACAAACTTCACAAGATGAGGGCAGTCCCGTCATCGTATCACTAACTGCTTTGATATCTTGGGCTTGGTTGGATAAAAGAAATCAAGGGTGATCAGGGTGCAGCCCACTGCTGCATTGTGAAAGCATGAATATGTTTCGAAGGGGGAGCGTAATCCCTTAGCTCCAAAGAAAAGTTTTGCTTAGCAATCACAGTTTGTGGGGCCAGAAACAAGCTAAAATAATTCAACATGGATCTTGACCCCCTAGGATGATAGTGCTCTGAAGCTCAAAACAGATGACAATGATGTCTACATAAGTCTTGATCCTGACAAACCAGAGCGTAATGACATAATCAAATCAAAGTAAAAAGTCCGATCATGGACTAAACAACTCCGATTGAACTAAGCTACTCAAACATACCAACGATGCCACCACATCCTATTATGCTCCGGAAAGGTAGGCAAAGCTCGTCGACTTTGCTAATATTGACCATTCTTGTTTTGTAAGACAGGGAAACCTAATTCAATTGGGGACCAGACGGGTTTTCTATATTCTTAGAGATTTCTACAATCTAGGGATTGGTGTACTTTTTTATTTATATCTTCAGGAGAAGATGGATATGCATTCTATCGTTGGAGAACTTTTGGCCAAGAAAGAAAAAAAAAATGCTCATTTTAAGACATTTTGCATCTTGCAATGAAGATGTTCTTATGAGTCAAACACAATCTTATCAACATACACTTGAATGACTCAATGGTCCAATGGTCGGATCTCGTCAGCCTTCGAATCAAGTGACAAATAAATTTGGGTTTTATTATCAAACAAAAGAAAGTAAATGTGACAAAATGAAGCTAGGGTTAGGTTCCTAGCACTACAGTGTAGTAATTAAGAGTCTTGATAAAACTAGCGATTAACCCTATGAATTCCTGCAAAACTAATTGGCTACGTTTGAACATGATGAAGAAACTGTGAAGTTGTATTCATTGGGTGTTTGCTTTTTTATTTTTTTGGCTTCACGTCCACAAGTCGTATAAGTAAACGGATTTGAAATGGTAATGAATTGCAGAATTGCTACGGTAAATTGGTGATCTGAATTCCGTTTAAGTAGAAGTCTAGTAGGGAAATGTCCATGCCGAAGCCGCAATGGCAAGCATTGCAAGTAGGGTAATGTGGTTGTGGACGTATGATTGGGAATCATTTGCAGAGTTTGGAGGAAGTTGTTCAGGTGGGATTTCTTGAACATGGATTGCAACTTTCATACCCTCAAAACAGTAACCTCGACCGCTGAGGAAGAAATATGTCTTTGCCTCTGTCAAATTGAACACATCCCGGCCGCCTCTCGTGATGTTATATATGAAATCTTTGTCGACGCAATTCTCATAGCTTGTGCTGTTCACCTCCAGAACATTGTAGATACGCTTGTCAAACCCAAAATCTACAAAAAGCGGACAAATAGAAAGGAGGTTGAGGCTATTAGGTTAGGTTAGCAAATTAAGTTAAATTGGATGCGGAGTTGTTATGATATCTTAATGGTACGAGCGACACTTACAGAGCCAATCACCGACGTAGAAGCGTTCTTGACTGGACCATTGCGTGAGGTTAATACGGGGAGCCCAGGTGTTACGTCCCCCTCCTATCCTATGGAGGACAGGCTGCCTGCATTCGGCAACCTTTAGTATTATCATCACAACCATCAACCACCAACCTCTACTTTTCAGGCCCTTATCCTCCTTCATTTGTATTTTACGAGCTCTCCGGTCCTGATTTTAATTTCCTAGACCATTTAAGAGTGCTGCTTAAAACGCAGCTGAACATGCATGTCTCATGCACATCGGCGCACCCCTTGAGCATGACCACCCGAGTCATAATAACCGCGTGTGCGGGTGGGTTGTTGGATATCAACAGTAAATTAGTAACGAGCGACCATGTCACGAACAACGCTTAAATGACAGTGAATATCATCTAGCATTGCCCCGGGGGCTTTCATATCCACCGCCTGTTCTCAGCATGCCGAAAACAGCTCGGAGAAAAATACCATGCCCCCAAAGGGAAGTGGGGTTTCCAAAAGACCGCTCATAAAACCAAGTCTCCACATACATAAAAGGCAACAGAAACCATCACATAATCCCATAAGTTAAGCCTACACAGGGAGTCAACATCCAAGGTCCCATAAGTTAGGCTGCACACGCAACGTACTTGGGATCATATACAAAACGGCTGTCAAACGCAGGGCACTACGAAACTAAACTAAGGCAAGCTTACCAACGACGATTGTTCAAACCTCCTATTATGGTGGGAGGCTACACCGAAAACTAGTATATACACAAACTGCTGTTCTTCCGTAGATAATCATAGTAGCTCAGGGCTCACGGGGACCTCAGCAGAAAAACATGGAATTGGACACATTCTCCTTCAACCTGGGCAGCTGAGGGACAGGAACAGCTCCAGCGGAGGTCAGCCCGCCATGGCTTGAAGATGTCTCAGACGCGTCTTCAAATTTCATGAACTGTGACATCTGAGTGGCAGCTAAATGTGCATAGCAAATGGGGGCAACTGAAAGGATAAATATTAAACCAAGGGATTAGGATTCACTATTAGAAATTTAACAAAATCAAAGAATCATACTAGAGGAGCCAGCAGGAATGGAATAAAGAAATTTACCAACGGAAATGGCGGTGGTACTTCTCTGGTACCTGCAATTGAGAGAAAAAAAAAATATTATTAAGGACACTAGTTATAACTAATGCCTAAGCATAAGCAATGTAGTGCGTTGATATCCACTTACACGTATGAAAGAGAATGCACTAGTTCCTGCAGATCATCGGCTGAAAAACCAACGTCGTCTAACAGAACATGATAGTGAGTAGGCCTCGTGGTCCCCTTAGAAAAACAAGAGTAAACCAGTCAAATATAAGTGTAAACTATTACACAGAAAACAAATCAGATGTTGCACAGGAATGATTCACAGGGTCCCTGAAGAATCGTATGTGCCCCCCAGAGATCCACTTAGTAACATTTGGGTTGAAATTATGAGAAACAATGTAAAACATGTGGATTATTAAAATGTTGAAAAACTCAAAGTACTGAAAATTGAAGGCATAGTTTTTGGAGCTTAGACCACAGTACACTAATGCAAAGTAGCACAATCTAGATAGGATTCAGAGTTACAAACAAGATACTACAGCGGGCAAAGCATAATATTGATACTCACAATCATTCCCGCTTGGGCACAGAGATAGAAGTCATTGTTCCTTGGGTGACAAATTCTGTTATCTATAATTGTTCCTGCAAAAACAATAAATTGTTTACTTAAGTTGAATTATGTTTGTGAAAGGGCTGAATTGTGTGAATGGTTGAATTTGTTCAACTGCATTAGCGTACCAGGAGGAACGTTATCGGGGGACTGAGGCTGAAAGAACTTTGTGTGGTGGTTTTTCTGAGCTATAATCACCACAAATTTAGGGGACCAAGCCTCATCCAGGAACTTGCATGCCTGAGAATAAGAAAAAGGATAATTTATCATTTTCATAGTTGAGAGGACAAATTTGACAGGTAATAGTCAGCTCGCAAAACCTCTATGATTTGATCCAGTTCAATGTTCAAAACTTGGTTGAATTGAGACTCGCTAACCCCATCCCTGTATTCAATACATAACTAGTCAACACGAAGGTATCTGAAGCACAAGTAAAAGAGATTAATCAACTATGAAATGCTCAAACAGAAGTAAACTACTTGGAGCCCAAAGAAAAGGATAAAATGTAAGTACTCAGCATCTACTCATGCTATGAAAAAGCCCATCATATTTCTAATAGACAATTCAAGTAAATTGAGTAACGTAAGTTTAAGAGAGTTTAAAATAGCAAAAAGCATTCAAGTAAAACCAGTGATATGCACTGGAAACGCGTAATATTTTCATTGGGAATATCAGCACTGCAGGATAAAATATGCCTGCTTCAGACCAATCTATGGATTGTGCCATTCAAATCCTTGTATACTTACACACAAAGACGTAATGGGAAACTCATTGTGTCAGAATACAAATGCAACGTGGAATCTAATAACCTTTAAAATTTAAAACAGGAATAATCAAACGACAGAACTGAAAAATTACTCATTAAACTTGGTGATTAAAGATGTACAGAAAAATTAGTAAATGACCCATACATTTGAGTGGCCACTGAATGGGTTTTAGAAAAACAAACTACTACAAATAAGATACTGAGCGTTTCAATTCTTACAACCACATAGTTTTAAGAACAATTGTAAAAAATACTACAATTCATTTGATTCTAGGGTTTCTAATTTAGAAATACCTGAATATGATAATCTGGTCCGGTTTCTGTTTGCCTGAACTTGTATAGAAGTCCAGAAGCAGCTCTCTGAAATTAAGAAGAAACTTTACATTTGAGTGGTTTGGAAAGGATTTAAGAATCCAAAATGTGAAACATAAACTGACCTGAACATTCAAAAGAAAATGAAATTTCAAAAATCTTCAATATATAATTGAAGAAATGTGTGCAGTGAACAAAATAACTTCAAGATACATAGTACCTCATAATGCCATCATCCTCTGTGTCAGATACTCGCTTGTACAGCGAGTCTATCATCTCCACCTTGGGGGATTGTGTTCGAACAGATGCCCTGTAGCGAGATATCAGGGGCCACTGCCTGGAGCTGACCACCTATAATTCCCCCATTGAATACAAGTTATACAACATGAAAGATCATACAACATGTGCAGAGTTCAACTGAACTAGCTTTAATAACAACATTTAATCCAAAATATAAAACATAGAAAACAGTTTACCGCGGCAATTGAAGGTACATCAGACTGCCCAGGTGAACCATGGGACACATCCATCCCAAGGATGATAGTGGGAGCCTTGGAAACCACAGGGATAGAAGGAGAATATTCAACTGCCAACAATGAATTTAAACCACCAAGCTGCAAGGATTTATGAGGGCAAACCAAGTATGAGATCACAGCAACAGAAAATGCACTCATTTTGATATCAATAAAAGTTCAAAATTAAAAACCCCACCTTTGCATTGATTTTTAACAGGACATTTGTAAGGTATTGATCATTGACCCTCGTGGGAGCAATGCACTGTGTCACAATACCATACTCAGCAAGATTCTTCCGCTTCCATGGACCTAGTGATTCAATAGAAATCATTAAGAATTATAATTGATTTAACACATCAATTATAGTAAAGATAAAATGACTCTAACCATATAAAGCAGAATTTTTCCTCTCCGGCAGCAAACAGAGAAGAAACTGTGGTTGTCCAGGAAGTTTGGACTGTATATCCTCAAACATCCTCTCAACTCTAACCAAAGGTGGGGCACGCCTAGACTGGGGATTCTCTTCAAACACATCAAATGGAGCCTCGATTTTCTGCCAGAAGGGGAAGAATGGAAAGTTAAAACAAAAGAATAAAACTGAAGTTATCTGAATACATACTGTAGTAAATGTGTAATTACAAAACTTACAATTCCTTTCATATCACCACATTTGATTAGATCGCGGACAAGGGCTTTTAGATCACAGCGTGCGGAGAAGTTGACAACAGCCCACTTTTCTATCTTAGTTGGCTTCACAAGTGTCTGCATTTCAACAATATAAGTGAACCCCTTGAATCAGAATACTAATATAAGGTAAAAAGTAAAGGAGAGAAGAGGAGGGTTAAGACCTTGTTGTTGAAATTCCAGCGCCCATTTCGAGGGAAGAAATCATCTCCGTTACCCACTTTAAGCTGTCAAGGAAACCCAAGCAATCAGTTGAAGCACAACAGTATAGGCTACGCCATATATGTAAATATGGAAAATACCTTTGGGGCTGGAAGAACACGGCCTTCCACTTGAGTAAAGTTACCACCAATTGAAACACCGCATGAGCGTAGCATTGGTTCAGCATCATAATTGTTGATTTTCAGAGCCTGAAATAGTACTCGTGAGATTTGGAGTCACGGATGCAAATACAATGAGGCGAATGTTAATGAAGACACCTACATTAGACAAAACACTCATCCTCTCTTGTGGCTTTTGCCTTGATTTTTCCACCAGCGAAGCTCTTTGAAGGGTGGAAAGAGCTTTGGTGTAACGTTGTAAGGACACCAAAGAACAAAGCTGTAAAGAAAAGAAAGTCAATAAAACCATTCAGATCACAGATAAAAGTAAATCGTCATATTTGTAACAACAAATATAAGGAACAATAAACTCAGCCTGTTACCTCAAGGGGGATATAGGTAGGACGTTTTGGCTTCCCAACATTAAGGCACGGTAGATCAGCAGAGTAACGCAGTTGTATATTACGATGATTAACAAAATAATCATAAACAGTGACTTCTATTTCTGCATCTTCACCTTCCTTCGCTTGTTTGTTTCTCAATGTAAAACTGGATCATACCAGAACAATAAATTGAGGGTGTGAAGAACAAGAACACAAAAACAATACTGGCCCCAGTTAGGGTAGTTACACCACGATGCAAAAACGCACAAGTAGAAAAGTTAAAAGTAATTTCATTGAACATAATATATACGTTTGTTCTCGGCATGGTTTCTCGCTCAATCCAGATATCTTGTACTCAAGATTTGATGGACTTGTTTTGACCCTCAAATTCTTGAGTGTTCTTTTAGCCTGTTCATTGAAACAAACACAGATTATCAGAGAGTAAATGAACATACTAACAGGCCAGAATAAATAATAACAAGTGTTTGTTACCTTCGTCCAGTCAAGTTGGAACGGATCTCTAACATTTTGGTTGGCAATTAGAAAGTCCACCACTGGCCCTGGCTGTATAATCATGGTAGTCGATACATCTGAACATGTACACATCAGAATAGGTGAAGATACAGTAATTTTTAAAAAAATATAACAGAGCAATAAGTGATATAGTTACCAATATTCAAAGACAA